CGGGGGGGGGGGAAGCTGGGAAAGAACCCCATATTTCTGTATCCAAGGCAGGGGCCGCTAAACAGTTGCCCTGGACTTGCCCTGCTTATGGTTTCTCTGACGAGGGACCGAGGTAACAGTATCTTTGGTTTCCATGGCAACACATAGACGCCCTGCAGGAAGATGGCAGCTATGGAACTCCAACGCTGGACCAAAAGACAGCCCACAGCTCCTCCCACAGTTCTCAGTCCGCCTTCTCTTTCACACATAAACGTCTTTTTAACTGCTAAAGATCAACGTTTAGGGTCAGGACCTTAACCCATACACCGGTAACGCGGCATTTTCTGAAACCGGCCTCGAATGAAGAGATTAATAACTCAAAATCTGCTCTGCCTTCCCCCCACTCTCCTAAACTCTGGGCCTTCAGCAGGGCCACAGAATTACCAAGAACTGTGAGGGCCAAAGTCGTGTAATAGCCAGATTCCATTCCCTCAGAGAGAGGAACCGGTCTGACATAGGTGTGCAAGCAGACAGGGAAGGCTTCGCCATCCCCAGCATCTTGGTGCCTGCTCCTCCGCCCCATAATGTTCACACGCTGCCTTTTGCTGCCGCAGCCGGGTCGGGCTAATCAGCACAACATCCACCTATCGATCGCTGGCTCCATGCCAGGCAGGCGGGCACCTAGCCAGAGGAGCCTGCGGGGCACCAGGGATGGCAGAGCGCAGGTACAGGGGAAGGGGTGTTCCCTCCCTTGCTTCTACCTAGGGCACAGTTCAAAAAGAGGGACCTTTCGGGGTTGGGGGTGTCTATCTTATCTGAGAGAGGAAACGGCATATCGGGACTAAGGGCTGAAGGAGCCCTCTCTCCTGGGGCCCCACCTCCTTCTCCATATAAAAGCTCAGAACAAAGAGGCCGCTGGGGAAGAAGGCTTTGATCTGACCCCACCTTCCCAGTTCTAGGCCAGGCACCGCCCAGTGTGCCCTTGGGGAGGGGGAGGGCCTCAAGCCTTCCTTCGACGCCGGCATTCTGAAACCCAGGTGCCTGTCTGTTTCCCCTGGGTTTTACCCCAGCACCCGGAGTAGGCACTGCCAGAGTGGGTTGTCAGCAGCATCTGCCACCTAGCACAGGAAGATGGCTGGGGAGGTGCGAGAGGGTGCCAAGCTCCACAGCTGCTGCTGGCACCTATCCCAAACTGCCCAGAAGGGTGCCCACTGATGTCTGGCATGGATGGCCTGGGCACAGCTGGCATGGAGGTCAGGCCAAGTCAAGCTAAGAGCTGAGGCCCCAGGGAGTTCAGGTGTCATGGAAGAAGCCAGAAGGGAGGGTAACACAAAGATGGGTGATTTTTAACATAAGTTTATTATTCATGTGTGTGCGAGTGTGTCTTTTCATGTGTCATGTTCATTGACACGCCATGTGGCATGTTTAAAGGACAACTTCCAGGAATCTGTTCTCTCTTTCCACCGTGTGGGTTCCAAGGACTGAACTCTGGTGGTCAAGGCTTTAGCTTGCTGAGCCTTCTCACTGGCCTCTGTTTTTTTTTTTGTTTGTTTGTTTGTTTGTTTGTTTGTTTTTTTGAGACAGGGTCTCCCTTACCCAAGCCGACTTCCTGCTCACCACCTTCACCCCCACCCCCCAGTGCTGGGATTACAAGTGTGAGCTACCATGCCCCATGAGAATGGGTGATTTATTGAAGGTTTGGTCCAAACACTTACAAAAATACAAACCAGCATGAAATTCAACCTCATGGCAAGTCCGTCTTCATAGAAGACAAGTGAATGGCCCCCTGGGAGGGCAACAATTGCCCCTGGGAAGAGTCCTAGAGGGCACAGATGACATGGCTTCCCCTTTGCTCTTGGCCAGGAGCCCACTTGTTCCCATGTCTTTGGCTTTGGCCCCCAGTGGCTCAAGGATTTGATCCCATCAAATCCCGGTCTTCTAGGGGGAGGAGACAAGACCATCAAAGCAGCTACGTTCCAGGGTGCCCTGGACTGTCTGCTGTTCCCTCACAGTTCCTCTTCAGCCTGTGGTGAGGGGGCAGTCACCTACAAGGGTCACCTCAGATCCTCTGACTTTCCACATCAAAGCTTCATCGTGTCTGCCTGGTGTGGCATCATGGGTATGGTGGCAGGAACCCCTTCAATAGAGGAGCTTAGCTGGTTAGAGGATGGCTCTGGTTTCTTAGGGTGACGAGAAGGTGTACTTGGCTCACAGAACTCGAAGGAGACGGAGTATTGGGAGCAGCAGCAGCAGCAAGAGACACAGGGGGCTGGGAGCATGCTCTCCCCGCCACCCAGATGTGCCACTTTCTTCAGGGCTCCCAACAGGATGGGCGGACTCGGACCCTGTGAAGGAGAAGGAATGGTACTGCTGGGTCTGTCCGCTTCCTCGGCAGCCTCCTCCCTGCCCTTCTCATTCTGTTTTCATTCTCTAGGGTCTTCCAGAGCAGCCACTGCCTTCCCACGATCACCCTCATCCTTCCCAAACCCAAGTCCAAGTCTTACCCATCAATAGTCTTCAAGTCCATCTTAAAGCTTTGAAGGACCTTGCCCCTTGGGAACCCCATTTCTTTGTGCCCAGCTTTAAAAAGGGTGTGGTGGAAGCTCCCATGGGGATGAGGAGAAGAGGCTGTGCTTGACACCTAGCCTGGACGCCTTAGGGCTGATGTTCCTGTTTTTCCCCACTCCTTCTCTTCTCTCAAGGGCCCCGGACTGGCTAGAAGGGCTTGTGAGACCCTGGCCCACTTACTGCTCTCCTTGCAGCAGACAGACACCTGGAGTCTCAAGCACCGGCCAGAACTCTCTGGGGTTGGCACCGCTGATGGGAAATTGGGAGGAAGAAGTTAGCACAGAAAGCCATCCTTTGGAGTCCGACTATGTCAGGCCTTCTTGGCTTACCTTCCTTTGGGGGGTCACACCAAGGACCAGCTCATCCATACCTCACACATCTCTCTAGTCCTCCTTGATGGCTTCTGCACTCTCTTCTCCGTGCAGGTTCAACCCAACCAAACCCCTGAGCCTTAGGAACCACAGCTCCCTTTTCCCATGGCCTTTCTTTCCTCCTTACTTTGACACAGAGTAAAGGCAAAGCCTGTTCTCCACCCGTCCCCCACTTCCCCCGGGAGGCATGCAGTATGTCCTGCTCACTCACAGATGTAGTAGTAAGTCTCTCCCGGCAAGAACTCGAAGCCCAGGGAGAAGGGTGTGAATCGCTGAATCTTTTCTGAGAATCGAACAGGGCCAAAAGGGGCGAAAGGCAGCGAGCACTTCCATCGCTGGAAGGCATTTGCCCCCTCTGCCTTGCAGGCCTCATAGCCTGACCAGTCCACCATGTATAAAGCAAAGGTTTCAGGTCCCTCCGGGGGCCCTGGGCTTTCATAATGTGGGCAGAAGATGTCTAGGTAATCGTTGAGGCCCAGCTCCACCACAGCATCCCCTCGAAGCAGCCTGTGGGTACAAGGGAGTGTGAGCCCATGGGTTATAGCATTGCACAACTGGGAGAGGTATGGGGTCTGAGCCAGCCTCACTCACACCCACTAGAGATGGAATAGCTCAGGAATGCATGCGTTTCCAAGAATGACCCACCCCTTTTCAATTTTGTTTTTCTCCCTTTTTTTTGGTAGCTGGGACAGAATCTAAGGCCCACATGCTAAGTGCTCTACTACTGAGCTATGACTAGACTTTTAACTTTTCCTTTTGGAATAGGGTCTTGCTATTCCAGCCTAAGTTGCCCAGGCTGGCCTTGAACTCACTCCTTCTAAGTAGCTGAGATTACAGGCCTGTGCCAATTCCTAGACTGAATACCTCCCTGAGAGACAATGTATAGGTAATAAATGTGACGATCAAGTCAGTTTTAGGGAGGAGGTTCAGGGGCTGTAGTGCCTAGCCCCTAAGGCTTCCCTATTGGTGAGGAGGCCGTCGTTCTCCCCTGTCTTTCAGACACAGACCCTGCAGCCCATTGCCCCACATGGGGCCTGGCCTACCATCTGTGCCTGGTAAATTTTGAGAGGATGAATGTTGCCAGGAGGCCAAGGCCAAGGCAGGGGGACACATATATGCCCACAGAACAGTTTGAAAGAGGAAGTTGGAGCTCTTAGGGTCTTCAGTACCACAATCAGGGGGAAAGAGGGAGGGTAAAAGAGAATGAGTGAGCCAGGTGGTGGTGGCACCACCTTTAATCCCAGCACTGGGGAGGCAGACAGAGGCAGGCAGATCTCTGTGAGTTCAAGGCCAGCTCGGTCTACAGAGTGAGTTCTAGGGCAGCCAAGGCTGTCACACAAAGAAACCCTATCTCAAAAGAGAGAGAGAGAGAGAGAGAGAGAGAGAGACACAAAGAAGAGAGACAGAGACAGTATAGGCTCTTTTTTCTTTTTAGGAGCTCCTGTGTGGCCTAAACTGGCCTTGAACTCATGATCCTCCTGCCTCATCTCAGTCTTTATTATTATTTTTAGTTATGTGTGTATATGGTTATATATGTGCATGTGAGCGGCACAGGTGGGGGAGGAAGCCAGAGGTGGTGGGGCCCTGGAGCTGGGGTTAGAGAGGTTGTGAGGCCCCATGTGCCATTTCATGACTGGGATTACAGGCACGTACCACCACACACAATCCCAACTTCCTTTTTGACCAGACAAGTAAATACCAGGTATAAAAGAGAACCCCCACACACACACACACACACACACACACACACACACACACACAAAATCGAGTTCCTCTTCCTCAACTCTCCGAAGCAGGCTGGGGGAGCCAGTACAGGAGAGAAGAGCTGGAACAGGCCATCCCACAGCACGAATCCTGCCTCCAACACCATGCACATGGTAAAGCATTTAAAAACGTCCTTCAGTTGTTATCTGAGAACCACCTGCTGTAGGAACTCTTGATTAGGATTCCCGAGTTTAGCTCAGACCACTAGAAGACAAGCTGAGGGAAGATAGCATCTTTGTATGTTTCATTGTACTGGGTGTGGAAAAGCACTCCTACAAAGCCAGAGCCCAGTAAATACTTGTGGACTTGGTGAATGAGCCAGAAACTCAAGAGCTGGGGGCTGAGGCACTGGTCTGGAACTGAGATAGAAGAAGCCAGAGTTCAGGCCAACAATAGTTCTTATCATTCAGCCCTGGTATTGGAATGACTATTGTAGGCCTGCCCTCCTGGGGGTCTTTGGCCTCCCACAGGGCTGCGTCTCTGCCTCTCATATTGGCAATGCCCAGCAGATCAGCACTAGTCTTGACACACAGTATGTGCTTATCAAACGTTAGTGAATAAATGAACAGAGCCACAGATTGTCTGAAGTAGAAAATCAGAAAGGAAAACAGATGGGAAGGCAGAAAGGCAGGGAGAAATGGAAGGCAGGATGCAAACAGAAAAAAAAAAAAAAAATCCGAGGTTCAAAGGCAGCCAGCTCAGCAGAGAGGAAAAAATACGCGTTTAAATCTGTACAGCTGTACTGCTTTTCACAAGCCTGACCTCAGTCCACTTGCTTCCCAGGGTGCTAGGTATTATTAGCCCATTTTGTAGATGACATAACTGAGGTTAGCAAGGTCAAATGACTGACCCACAGGTGAATCAGCTGGAGGGGCAGGGCTAGGATTGGACAGAAATAAAATCAAGATGGAAGCAGAGATATCACACGAAATCAGGGGCCGAGGGGACCTGAGAACCTGAGAGGAACTCAGGTTCTTTCACTAGGGTAAAGACCCCTCCAGGGTTCTCAGCGGTCCGCCCCAGCTTCTGCCCGCCGGAGGTTGGGGCTCCAGAAAAGGGGGGCGGGGCCGGAATACGGGCCCAGGCCCCCCAGCTCCCTGCTTCCAGACTCTATCCGATCACCCTCAGGACCAGGGTCCTCCGCCCGCCCCCCAACACGTTCGGGCGGGGGGACCCCGGGCACGCCTCGCCCCTCCCCCGCCGGCTCAAACAAAGGAGCCCCGGCGCGCGGCTGGGCAGGGCTCAGACAGCGCCTTGCAAAAGGCGAGTGGCGAGCGCGCGCACAGCTTAGAAGCGCGCGGGCCCAGCTTGGCGCTCGCATCGTCCGGCCGGGCTACCTGGGGTTAGTGGAGTTCCAGTAGACAGGGTGGCGGAGGCTGGAGCACCCCCGGAGGGGCCCCCC